CGAGGTTGTTACATCTTTTCCAGTCCGAATAATAAATTTAGCAAAGTTGTTTTGATTTAAGTGTGGTTTCCATTATCACAACTTCAGTGTATACAGTTGTTTCCGGTAACCCCAGATCCCACGCAGATTTCACGCAATTGCCGAGATTCAAAATGGTCGTCGTTGACTTAACATTTGGCACATTTCGCTAGAACCTTTGTCACAAATCAACTCATCTGGACATCACTCAATCAAGGGGATCTGAGCTGATKGKKGGGKYCRAMYYCGAAAAGTGTGGGGCGAACACGGTATAAGTTAGGAGCGAACTCGATAGGGGGCGAACGCGGTGCAATTCGTGTGAGTTGAGAGTGTGACTGCATTAACTTGCGTGGTTTAAAAGTAAACTAATATCTAAAACTAAAATCAGAGCTACATTCAAGTTTCAGCTTCGTTATAATGCATTACATACTATTTGTAAAAATTTCCCTAGTATCGAAATTAATCGGCAACTTGAGTACAGGTGCCTTAAGACTGAGTGTATTTTCATCCTTTCCGGGTTTTTGGAACATATGCACCGAAAAGATCCATCCCTCTGAGAAAGAGGGGTAGAAAGAGAGACGCTACATCTCTTATCCTCTGAACAAATCGCTGTTTCTCGACTCCGACACCCTGTAAACTAAAGCGCTTAAATTAAATGGTAGAGACACAAAATATCCAATGGGTTATGATTTATTTTCCTTTGCAAGTTATGCCAATGAAAGAGCTTCGGCAATAGAGAAATATAATACATGTAGAATATCGAATAAGTTTAATTATACGCGCACTTTGATTTGTTCTTTCTTAGGATAAACTGGAGGAAAGATGTATACATGACGTCACCATCAAATACTTTTTGTTTCGTCATCGTGTAAAACAAATAAATACCACGTCACCGTGGGTCTGTTTAGTAATATATCACAAGAGATGTCAAAATGCGGTGAAAACATCCGAGACACACGGGGCTTCCTTTTTTTGGTCTTACCATATTTTGACGTCATCTGTGATCTATTACTCAACAGACATACATCAGCATAGAATCTATCTGTTAAATTTCAACTGGAAATCTTTGCATATTATTACACACTACTGACACTTCTTTAACAAATTTGTCGGTTATGTGAGAAAACTACCTTTGACAACATGTTCATTCCTTGCAACAATTTTATTTAACTTTTCTGGCTGGTTGCACTAGTAAACTGTTTCCATTCATTGATCGTTTCTTTTTTTTTGGTTTTGAGGTATGAATTCATGTTCCATTAGATAAAATCTCTTTCAGTGACTTGTTATCAGCACAGTCGCCAGTCTGTTCAAAAATGTCAAACTCATAAGTGCTTACTTTCCACTCTGCTTCATCCGGGTCAGAGGCATTCTGATCCATGGTTCTCTCAACATAAGTAGCATGTCCATGTGCATCAACTAACAATACCGTGTTGGTTCTAAAAAAGGAAGTCAACAAGCTGAATTGGTGCTAAGAAAACTGCAATACGATTTCTTACAAGAACTGGTATGTTTTTTCTTATAGTCCTACAATATTCCTTTTTCTGCCAAAGCCTAAATTTATTACTGGTGATATTTATTAATCAAAGGAAACTGTGAATAAGTCGTGGATACATTGCGCTTGAATGAGTTTTGAAGATAATTAAATTCCAATGGGTGACTCCCGGATACAGTTGAAACTTCTTGTTATTACTCTGAACTGCTGGGGTGATGTTGGGTGAATGGTCAGAGTTCACATTTTAGCAATCGGTGAGTACAAAATACAGGCTGAAAACCGGCTACGAAATGCAGACTAGGTACAAAATGCAGACTGCAGATTGGGTACAGAATGCAGACAGGAAATTTTGAAAACTGTTATTTCATCTGATACATGATAGCTGATAACATATGTCATCTTACAACTTACCGAGTGTCACGCAATCACCTTTTGGCAATCACTTTCATGATCATTTGTACTATATTGGAATATTCCTTGCCCGTTTCTTCGCATATTTTGTTTTTAACTNAGTGGCCACTGAATTATGTTTTTAACAAAGTGACCACTGAATTATGTTTTTACAAAAGCGGCCACAATCGTTCTCAAATAGAATTTCAAGCCATCGTATTTCAAAAAAAAAGACAACTTTTGTATGTGTTACGAAGTCTTCACCTTTTAAACCGATATGAGTTTATTTTCAATTTGTTGACAAAAATGTGGACTTAGACCAAAACTGTTCCTTCGACTTCATATATCTTTAACATTCAGGGGTGTACTCACAATGATTTTCACAAATTAATATCTGCGTAGTCACCAAACAGACGAGAGGTAAAACCATCAGAAAAGTAAACAATTGACCGGTCACGAAAACAACGCTTCGCTCGGCATGCACTAAAACCAGGAACACCGGAAGACCGGAACACCCCGGAACATCGGAACAGCCCAAACACCCCCTGAACACCGAATTTGACGGTGTTGTTTTGTTTTCCCATTACAGATCATGTAAAAAATAAAATGTAAATGCAATTTGTTTACCCACGTATAACGAAAGAGCTTAGAGCTCGTTATAAAGTGTAAGTGTATAACATCGAAATTGAATTTAGAAGTGTTGGTTTTTGTGGAGGGAGGAAAACCGGAGAACCTAGAGAAAAACAAACAACAAACTCTACCTTCAAATAACGGTGGGTCCGGGACGCGAACCCGGGTCACACTGGTGGGAGGCGAGTGCTATTTCACCACTGCAGCTCCCCCTATGTGATCATAGTCTTGAGAAATTTTCTGATAGTCGCGTGAATACGAATGGATTATTTTTTTTTCCTCCAGAGAATATCACGCGGTCTGTAATGGCTAAACAAAGACCAAACGAGAAAGGTCGATATCTTGTAACCGGCCAGTACGTAACTATTAGTATCAAATTATGCATTGCGGTTCTACCTTTGTACTGAGCAACAGCTGACCAGGAGTCCCGTCAACTCCGAAAGTGCGAGGCGAACATCGACAACATGGCTGAACTGAGTTCTTCCGGTAAGTACAATAGGGGCTTATAATTAGAAAAGTTAATTATCTCTTTAAAAGCTAGAACGTCTGCAACAACAACTTTTATTTATACCACAAAGAAATAACATAAGAAACTATATATTTAGCGCCTGCTTCTAAGCTCTTTCGTGTTACGTGGGTAAACAAATTACATCTACATTTTACTTTTTTACACAGTCAAATTTGGTGTTCCGTGGTGTTCCGTGGTTTTCCGGTGTTCCGTGGTTTTCCGGTGTTCCGTGGTGTTCCGGCGTTCCTGATTTTAGTACATGCCGCTTCGCTTTCCCCTATAAAAATTTGCCGGTTACTCATTTTAGCGATATATAACGATATAAACACTGACGGCTCGCAGTGAGAAGAATAAAGGTTTGAAACTGTATTTAAGAAAGAGTGTGACCTGGAAGCTTTCTTAAAAACAAAATGTTCCCGGGAACGGCGAGGAATATTCCACAATAATGCAAATGATGGCGAAAGATGATCGCGGAAAAGCGATTGTATTAAGCGTCTTCACTCATAATTACACCTTTAGGTTTTCAAAGAGCCTTAATTCGGTTACACAAGTGCCAACTGCGACGAGTATTTTATTTAAAATCGAAACTCCTTCGAAGAAAGCTCGAGTTAAATTTAACGTCGTAGCATTACTTCGGAAATGTGATAGAGGCTTTCCCGTAAAATTTCGGAGGGACGCTATCAATACTGATCTGCCGTCGACATATCGATTTGTTTACATCTGAGTGAGTGACACATTTGCATATTCTGCTCCATTCTAAGAGTCGTTTGTACGCTTCGCGGACCCACGACTAAAAAGAAACTGTGTCATAAACATCTCATTTAACTTTCATTCAATTAAATGCCACTGTAAACTTGATTTAAAGCTTTGCTTGTAGAGGAATATGTATAAAGATTTACTGAGGGACAGTATGGTGGAGTGCATGTGAATACTGGTAATTCTGACTGGAATATTTGTGTGCACATCTATCTTATGTAGTTTGCATTAGCATAAATCTGCTGAAACTTGTAATAACAATTATTATTTCTTTTTTTAATCCAAACAGGGAATTCAGATTTATCCTTCTTTCTTGTGGAAAAAGTTCTACAAGTACCTTGTTCCATATTTCACTTCTTTGCAGTTGACAAAGATTGCCTGACAGGCATTGATCACATTTTCATTGCCTCCTTCATCTTGAGGGCCCCACAAACTCTCAACGTCACCACAGCTGAAATGCCTTACATGCAGTAATATTAATTTATCATTAAAAAAGTAAAAAACTTTGAGAAATAACTAAACAAACGCAATTATAAAACTGATACACCAATGTGTCCCAGGATGAACAGTCATCAAACTTCATAGAAAAATACTATCAACATTTTACAGACTCTCTTGTCACTAAACATAATCAAAGGCTCCTTAGAGCAACCCATAGTTAATAGAGGGAGTTTTTGGCGCCCTTGACCTAACCTGCGACCTGGCTTTCTAAACTTTGGAAAGACTTTTTGATCGTGTGCAACACGTGCTGGCACAATTATTGTGTTTGTAAGCGTTTTCATGGAGAAAAATTGTCTTGAATTGCCAATGTGTGAAGAATTAGTTAAGACACCGGCAGCTACAAGATGAAATCAACGAAGTTTCACGCTTGCCAATTCGCAATAAGCTTAAGCTCACTTCATATTCCACAGGCAGCGCAAGCTCACTACTAGAAAAGCGGACGTGACTCTTACCGTGTTGCGCAACGTTTTATATTTATAAAGGTTTGTATGGGATGTTATCGGTTTGCCTCAAAAGAGAGAAAAAATGTCTTGT